CACACACACACACACACACACACACACACACACACACACACACACACACACACACACACACACACACACACACACACACACACACACACAACACAACACACACACACACACACACACACACACACACACACACACACACACACACACACACACACACACACACACACACACACACACACACACACACACACACACACACACACACACACACACACACACACACACACACACACACACACACACACACACACACACACACACACACACACACACACACACACACACACACACACACACACACACACACATACATATATATATGTGTTTAATTGCTTAGGTAAATTATCTTATTATAAAAAGAATAAATTAGTATGAGCAATGACACTGTTGTTTCGTTATTGTGGCTATACAAATGAAGAGAATCCTTTTTTTTTTTTTTTCTTTCTTTCTTCTTTCTTTCTTTCTTTCTTTTTTTTCTCTCTTTTTTTTTTACTTTTCCATCAGAAGTTCACATTTCGGGACTGTCCTCTGTAGCGGGAAAAATCTGATAGAATGTGAAGATTATTCTGCCATGTGGATATTTATATTTCTTGACACATCATTTAGGGTTAATATGGTGTATTTTTGGAGGTACTAACATAGGGTAATCCCCTCCCAAGTTATTTTTCTGCATGATGTTATCTGTTTTATAAATTAGAAGCTGAGAAGAATTGTATATTCACTAGGATAAATTGCAAAGAGAACAAGGATAGCTTTTATTAAATTTTGATCGGTTTCTCACAAAAGTAATGAAAAAAAGGATATCATATGTTCTTCGTGCTTTCTTCTTTTTTCTGTACATGAGCTAGAAAATATTTCCATGGTAAAACAAACCATAAATCTATGATTTTGTTTTTCATCTATAACTTTCAGTTTTGTAATTTTAAATATCTAAAGATCATAAAAGACTCCATCCTTTTATTTGTGTAATGTCATTTGTTGCATGAATTATTTTGCATATGATTGAATAAAAAGAAAAAAATGCTTCCTTGTGTCTCAGTTAACTTGATTTTTTGTGATATATGAGAAAAAATATGCATAAACTTCTGTTAAATGCAAACAAAAGGTTCAGGTTGTCTGCAATTTTACTACCTTTCCAATAATATAACCATATTCTAAATTTATTAGAACAGTATTGATTTAGAGCATACACAGGAAGAAAAGAATATATACTTATATATATCATTAGGCTGCTTCAAAAATAGGTCTAAAAATGCAATGTCAGTTTATACAGCATCTTGTAAGATGAAAGATAGTTCTTCCCTTACAAAAATTTTAACTGAAAGAAGGAATATTTGAAATTTTGTAAAAATGCATGAACCTATTTTTTATATACAGTAGTAAATGATTTATTACTATATATTACTTTTCTTCTTAAAATATATTGGCACTCTACAGTTTGTTACCAAAGTTTAGTATACTTCTTTTTCAGTACCATTATCCCTTATTTCATTCAAGTTTTAGCACCTTTGTAGTTGCATGAGTACATAAATAGAGAACGTCATTTGAAGGGAATTTTAACAAGGTATATTTTATCAAAACAGTTCATAGCCATTTCAAATTAATCTTGTAACAGAGAAATACTGCAACTTTACTACAATGGATTTTTGCAACAATATAGAAAGAGTAATTGCAAATATGTATTGACAAATTTCAGATATGTTTAGCAACATTCATATTTTGAGTGTCTTGTATATTTTACTTACACACCCACCTCAAAACTGGGTTAACCATTAAGGAACATAAACATATGCTACAGGTGTCAAGGGAAAGGGAAGACAACACTGAGAACCCAAATGAGCTGTAGAGAACTTTATTTTTTTTCTACTGATATTTGAATAAAGTATACAAAGGAAGCAAGATTTGAGTTACTCCAAGTGCCCTTTTTTAGCCTTGTTCCTAGCCCTTTTACATTATTTCCATTGTCTTTTACTGTTGTGTCAAGTTAATTTTTCATGTTGCATAATTTGCTTGCGAGACTCAGATGATAGTCTTACATGACACATGAGGCAATGAATATTTGTGTTTCCACATATAACTAACACCATTAAGGAATATAAACATAAGTTACGGGTGCCAAGGCAAAGATAAGACACCACAGAGAACCCAAATGAGCTGTACAGATACAGTGTAAGTAGAGATCATAATTTTTTCTACTGATATTTGAATGAAGTATATAAAAGAAGCAAGATTTGAGCTTACTCCTAGTGCCCCTTTTTTGGTTGTGTCCCTAGCCTTTTTATTTTAATTTCCATTGTCTATCACAGTTGTGTCAAGTTAATTTTTCACATTGCATAATTTTCTTGCGAGGATCGGATGATTTGTGATAATTTTACATGACATGACATTTACATGCTTCCACTTACTATATAACTAAGGTTAATGGAAGTTGTTTTATAAAATAATGAGGTTTTCAAATAATACATAAGTGATGCAGGTTTTCAAGCCACAACTGATGCATTATCAAAGTTTATTGTGTTTGTGTAAATTATCTTCAGGTTACAATGAATTCTTTTTGTTATAAGTACAGAAAGTTGAAGTCTTAATATTCATTGTGTGTGGCTTCAGAGCGACTCTCTAATAGGTCAGGCTAGCCAGCATCTGGGGTAGTACTGAGAGGAGGGGGGCCCCTAAGATAATACCCGCCCTCCTCAAGGAAATTTGAAATGGCACTCCTGTGTAGGACTTTGCATCAAAGGCCCTTGAGGACAGAATAAGAATGGTATAGAATAAGTATAGAAACTCTGTTTTCTGTCTGCAGAGTTGATACATGTACAGTATATCCTTCTTTTCATATTTTACTGCCCTATCTGTTTTACAAATTTTGTAATCTAGGTTGTTGCTCAATGATAGCATGTTGAATACATGCTATTCTGCTTCAGCTGCATAATACATTTATCTATCAACACCCATTTCCACATATGCACATTCACACATATATGGATAAACACACCTACATGCACAAGGACAAGCACACACACATACAGGCACATACATACACACACATTCACATGCATATGCACAAGCACACACACACACATATGCATACATGCACGAACATGCATACATACTCATACATGCACATGCAGTCTTACATGCACATGCACTCATACATGCACGCGCACTCGTACATATACTCGACACACACACATACACATACACATACACATACACACACACACACACACACACACACACACACACACACACACACACACACACACACACACACACACACACACACACACACACACACACACACACACACACACACACACACACACTGCATTGTAAAAATGTATATATTTAACAAGAGTTGTCTTCATAAACCTATTCCCTATATACTGATTCACAGTGTTTTGTATTATATGAAAATCACAAAAGTACCAATCTCTTCATATCAATTATAAGTTATGAACTGGTTAATAATTCAATAGCTACAGGACAAGAACAAAGCAAGATAAACTACCAATATCGGATATGTGAAATTTCCTATGATAGATGCTGCAGTGCACTAGAAAAATCCTGTTTAGTTTAAACTCATGATTTTGAAAATGTTCAATGGCTTCCCAAGTCAACAACCCCTGCTGTATATCATTGTTGTCTTAATATACAACTGCTGACATTTAAAAATAACAAGTTCAGAAATAAATCAAACAGTATCAAATCTTTCATCTGTGAAGCAAAATTATAAGTTTAGGTGGTACAGATCAACTCTCCCCCATACATTTACAAAATGAATAAAAATTATGTAAAAAAAAAACTAAGGTAGTCTTTATGTAAGGGATAACAGCTTAATTTCTTTCTTTTTTATCTGAATTATTAATTGTAGTATTAAATACTATTTTAGAATCCAATAGATTAATTCTGGTGTGGTATCTCCATGAAGAAGTTATCCAATAAAAGGTGCTAACTAAATACACTCTAATGTTACTTAATGGCCATGACATGTTCTGTCAAACAGAACTTAAAGTAATTGGATGTTGCACAAACAATGTATTACATGCATGGAAAAATTTGAGTTAGTACACAAAAGCATTATGTCACAAGTATATAGTCATTTATTTCCATGTCTTTTCAAGATAGTCCTTTAGACTATCTATAAAACCTCTTGAGCTTTATTCCCCTGTCAGTTCCGTTGTTGCTTTTTATATGCGCTGTTTCTGAGTATGAGGAACTATTGTGTAGTTTAGGAATATGAAATTCTCATTTCTTTATTTATTTTTAATAATGAAAAAATATCAGTATCAATTTCATTAAATAATATAGATATTCAAAATAACAAAAAATACCTAAACAGCTAGTAACAGAGCTGAATACAATTTATCTTAGAGTTAACAGACATATACTGCTATATCAGAATCAAAGCTTTTTAATAGCTTCTCCATATATTCAATATAACAATCAACATATCATAAAAACCAAATAACACAAAAATACAAAATTGTAAAAACAGTTAGACATAAAATTTCACCTTTCTGTTTTTCTTTGCAAGTGCCAATCCTTTATTGCATTGTACAAAATGTATTGACCATAACAAATAAATGGCTATATTAAGTACCACTTGTAAAAAAAAAAAAGTCCTCTTAGATTAACCACATTTCGCTTCATAGCTCAAATGCATTAGTCTATTCTACATACTTTTCCATGAGACTATGCAGTCTACCTGATACCAAGAGTAATTTTTATATTAGGACAAATACAACAATTTTTTACAAACATTTAAACAAAAATGTATAAATGTAATGCTGCTTTGATCATTACTCTACTGATGAAAGCGATTGCCTTACTGTAATAACTGAAATCATTAGAGCCTATGAAGATACTAATAAACTTGTTTCTTTAACTATCTTATAGTATACAAAAAGAAGTGAACATTATTACCATACAGAAGTTGCATCCATTAAACAATAATAGTGTAAATTTTAATACCACTTTTTTACATGTAGTTTTATTTCCTATTTGTGTAAATATTATTTCACTGCATAATGATCACATATTACAGGATAACTGTAAAGCACAGGAATAATAAGAGTTTTTCTCAGGTGCAGAGATGTGGCTCATTCAGAGAATTATATCTCAAACATCCAGTGGGGATATGTGTAAGAAAAAACACTTCAAACACTGCTATAAACTACAGTCAGATCACTAGCATATTCCAGTATCATTTTAAAGTATAATCACTGACTTTCCAAAGACAAGAACTTTCATTCTTCTTTAGTAAAAAGTATAAATTTGAGAATACCTACCACTATGACTCATATCATTTACCTAGAACTATTTCATGGCACTTTCAAATTCCACTAATTGAATCCAAAGATAATCAGTGGCAGGAAATGGAAAATACAAATAATACACTATCTACAAAAAAAAATTACATTTATAGGCACAAGATATTTTATCATTAATGATACAAATTTAGTGAAGAATATTCTTATACCTATTAAGTGTTAAACAGAACATACGCCATGTTCTAATATTGTGTACTTGAAATTCCTACACCAAACAGAATTAAAATGAAATTACAGATTTTCTTTTATCACTGATGAGATCCTTCTAATATGAGCCTTGTTGTTACAAACAACTGATGTATATTTTGTGCTGATCCATGAATTCATTGGGACTTCAGGTTAAGCTTAATTCTATCTAAAGTGTTCATTAAGGCAGCTTATTGTTAAAAGAATTTACCACATCCTCAAGGTCTTGCTCTAATACATCTTTTCATACTTTAGTAACACACTCCAAAAAGACAATGAATGTGATACAAAACTCAACTTTTAGTTATTTATGTGTTTATAAAGATGCTGCTTCAATTTGGGCATATTCTGTGGTGAATATATACACTTGTGGCACTTAAGGGGTTGATCTAATAACTTCTCTCCTGCTAAGGGGGTCATTGTCACCACCATTCCACGTTCTTCCAAACAACGGATTACATCTGAAGTTGTAAAGAAAATATTTGTTAAAAAATATGTTTAGTTGTAAAAGATAATTGTTTTCAGTAATATGTCAAGATATAGCAACAAAATATATATACCACTGCTTTGCTTTAAATATTTCTTTTTGCAGTGAAAGCACATGATGTTCTCTCCCTTCTTAATTGGTTAAATTTTTACAGTATGTAATACATATGAAATTTGGTAATGAAGTACACTATTTTTTCTTTTCATTAACCCTTTGGATCTAGGTACCTCAAAGTGTGCACATGGCCCACAATCTGGGCCATGTTTTTGCTGTTTTGCCTTTTTTCTAGGTCTATATTTATTACTTATGATGTGATAGATTGTTTTCTTTGAACAGACCATATTATCACCCTATATCTCCAGTATCGGTGGACAGGAATAGGTCCTCTCCCAGGCATAGTTGACAGCTGGTTAACTTCACCCTCATGGACTGGTGGAAATCCTACAGGAGCTAGCAAAAGACCCCATTCCTGAAGGCCTACTCAATAAATATCACTCTAAATGGTTTGAGCCCTTATGAAGGGGTGTCCTCATCAACCAACACTAGGCAAAAATTTCCTATGTTGAGACATTCCCGTTATTCACTCCTTGGTCATTTTTTTCCACAATAAAACTATTTAATCATCCACTCTCCAACCAAATTTTTAAATGACAAGATAGCCACCTAACCCAGATCTAACAGGATAAATTTCATAATTACAGAAGGTATCAAAAATAAAAGGATTATATTCAGTACATTCTAATGAAATGTTAGTACATACAAAAACAAATAGGAGTATAAAAAAAGGCTAAATCTTATATAAAGCCAATCACAGAAAATACGGTATGTATCTTTAACAATAAAAAAATTTATGATAATCTCTAAGTAATAGCACATATATGTGTACATATGAAGAATTAAACAAGACATATAACTCCCAGCTATCAAAATAAGGGAACTAGTAATAATCCTAATACATAAAGTCCCAAATACTTTCTTAATTTGATGATCTGACAGAAATACCTATTAATTTTTATATCAAACAAAATTGTTTTCACATACAATATTCCAATACCTCAACAAAATATGCCACTAAACTTACCCGCACTGTCAAGGAAGTACCGAGTATTGAAAGAATTCCAATGCCGTTTAGTTTTCAGACATGGTGAGTCAAAATCCTGGCTGATCATATGCAGATGCAGTTGCGACATACTTGGAATTGCATGGTAACCATACCTAGGGTGAAAAAATTCATGAAATTCATCTTCACACAAATACACATATATTTCTTGTTATAACATACTCATAATCAACATCATAACTGCATGTATCTATATGACTCTCCATATTTTTAAAATTAAACATCATTAGGATTAGTTTACTCTCTATGACTAGATGTATTCACTTTAATCCTATAAAAGATAAAGTCAGCATTACAAAAAATCTAATTCTTCATAGTAAAGGCAATCTCGCAAAGTGAACTTTTTCACATCTTATTATGAGAGAGAGAATCTACAT